TTAGGGTTAAGGGTTTTAGGGTTTAGGGTTTCAGTCTTCCGTGCCGTATCCCACACCACAGAAACAACATAGAATGTTGAACATGGTGGACGGCAATGTAGACAGTCCTAGGGTCCTTAATACAAGAACCGTCAACATAAGGCATGCCTAAACCCTAAACCCTCAACATTTAACCCTAAACCCTCAGCCCCTAAACTCCTAAACCCTAACCCTAAACACTAAACCCTAAACCCTCAGCCCACTAAACTCCTAAACCCCAAACCCTAACACACCAAACCCTAAACCCTAAACCCTCAACCGCTCATTTGATGACTAAGTACCTCTCTCTGTCCAAAGCTGGCGGCATCGGATTTGAACCCTAAGCCCGGCCGAAAACAACCACGGCAGAGCGAAATCGTGTAGGGGCCTCAACAATTGGAATTGGGGTTCCTTCAAAGGGGTCCTATAAGGGTTACTAGAAGGAGTTCTGTAAGAAGGGGCCTAAAAAATGGAGTAGGGTTTTTGGGTTATCATACTACATTTATAATAAGGAACCTCCACAATATTATAGGTGATTCTCAAGGCCCCTAAACCATGCACTCTGCACAGGCCTCTGTCCCTTTGCCGACGGACCTCAGTCTGCCAAGGAGAACATAGCTATCACATAGTTGCTACGGTATTCTACTAAGGGTTCACAGCGCATGGCTCCAACTAACATGTTGAGATGCTCAGCTTTCAACCTGTAAAGATACAGACGAAGCTATTCCCAACCCCCCGGTGACCTCACCTGATCGCTCCCAAAATACTCGAGCCCTGTACCCTGTATAGGTTCGACACCAAAGGTGCAAGGCATATCGGCCTAATGGATGAGGGTTTGGGGTTTGAACGGGCTTATAAAGGGTGCCTAAGATATAGGGTGAGACGACCCCGGGGTAAATCAGGTCCCCAAAATCAAGACGCTCAAATGCCGGATCCTCTTGTATACCCTCCTGCAAACTTACGCCCCTATCTAAGCCCTACACCCTCTATACCACAAGCCCTTAAGTAATCCGGGGTGTCCTAAACCCTCAGCCGTAAAGCCTAAACCCCCAAATCCCTAAACCCTAAAGCCTAAACCCTAAACCCTAAACCCCAAAACCCTAAACCCTAAACCTAAACCCCAAATCCCTAAACCCCAAAGCCAGATTTAAACTGATGCCATCCCACTCAACCACATCATATACTACCATTATGGAATTGGGTCCCACAAAACCACTAAGTATGGTTTCGGGGACCTACTTCCATAATCCTCGTATATATGGACCCTCTAAGGTTTCTTTGGGGCTTGAGGGTTTAGGGTTTAGGGTTTAGGGTTTTCAGCCCCTTGGAGTTTAAGGTGTTCGTCGGGATTCGGGAGGTTTTGCGAGGGCCTTGTCTTAGGTCGCGAGGGTTTGAGTATTTAATCGGAGTGTCCTGAGCACCTACTCGAGGGAAGGCTCAGTCTCGTTGAATTTCCGGGTTGCTGAGGTTGTAGGTTGGGTGAGACCTCGGTTTTCTTAAGCGTACTAATCTCTATGAACCCTACTCACCTAAATTCCTAAACCCGAAACCGTTACGAACCCCAAAACCGAATATTCTTGGTGGCAGGTCGAGAATAAACCCTAAACCCTAAACCCTCTTGCTGCCGTTATTTCAGCTTTCGGGGCTTTGGTGGCTTGCCCGAACAGCTCAAGCTTTCCCTGCAAAAGGTCGCAAATTCCCAAGCCTAGACTAGAGACATTGTGCAAGGTTTAGACTTAGGTGAAACATCTACTCATCCAGAGCCTTGGATAGGGTGTTGACTATTTTTCTGCGCCAGGGTGTATATGGTTTTGGAAAAAGTTTATGTTTTGCAGCCAGGGCTTTTGAGGTCTTTAGCGGGTGAGCTTAGCGCTGAATGATACTGACAAATAACCCCTCCCTTCCTGAGGATGAGAAGATCTACTTTTGAGACTCTGGAGGTGAGGCTCGCCACTGAGCATGAGGATGCTTACCTAGACCCTCCATCTACAGTCTACTCAACTCTAAAAGCCCTTTATTTGGGACACGTTGGGACCACCCACCCCAAGTTGAGGGCACGGTTTGAGACTCCTGGTATGGCTTAGGATTCCAGGATTTTCGTTTCAGGCCGAACGGTTGGGGTTAGGGTAGTATGGAGGCCCTGATAACTAGAACAGCGTTTTAGGGGTTCTCCGTAAGTCCAAAGCCCTTTATAAACATCCTAAACCCCAACCCCAAACCCTAATTCCTAAACCCTTTTAGGGGTTCTCCGTAAATCCTAAGCCCTATATACATCCTAAACCCCACAAGTGCCGAGGCCGCCACTTGCCACCCTTCTTTCCTGGTGCATGGTTTGTAGTGAAGGCCCTAAAAAGCTTTAAAGTGTTTAGGCTTTAGGGTGTTTAGGGTTTAGGATTTACGGTTTAGGGTGGCTGCGCTTTGGGCCTTGCCTGTATGCTGGTTTGTATATGCTCCTGCTTCTGAAACCGTTGGGTCACATACAGAAAGTAGGCGTGGTAGGCTTCGAGTACATAGGTATACGGGATGGAGTTGTGTAGCTGGGCTTCTGACCCTGGGACGGTAGTGATGCGACTTCGTACCGTTCTGAAACGTTTTGACAATGCAGGGCGAACGCCTTTCAATACGTCTGTTATACCAGCAACAGACCTTCGAGTTTTGGAGGACTTCTTCGTCAACATTCAGGCAGGCGACATCAATCCTTTTGCCATATCCTTTGACTATATAATGGTTCTACAATCTCAACCCTACCTAACCCTCCAGGTACCTACTATATAGGGCCCTAGAAGCTCTAGTACACTATATAGTAGGTGCCTGGGGGTTAGGGTTACATAACAACAGGGTCGCTACCCAGCGCTGTACGATAGTCCCAAAATCCCAAAAAAACCTGGGGTCTTGAAATGGTCGGTGTCGTGGCTCACACGTGGGCGGCACTCTAAATTGGCGTCCCTTTAAGGTCCTTATTTTATCAGGGTTTAGGGTCTAGGGTTTAGGGTTCAGGGTCCCTTTTAAGGTCCTTGTTTTATCAGGGTGCCGCACTATGATTGGAACCTATAGTGTATGCCGCAGGATGGTGCTGAAGCGCTGTTCCTGACCCACGTTTGCAGCGTTTGTTGGCTTTGATTCCGGACCCTCCATTCAGGTGCAGTTTGCATTGGATGATATAGGGGCCTTAATAATTGGAATAGGGTTTGGGCGTCTATTATACTATAATCATAACAAGGAACCCCCAAAAACCCAGTACGATAAACAAACACTAAGCCCACGAACAACACCTTCAACAAATTCCGACCCGCCTTCAAAACATGTCCGCCTGGCACCTGCGTCTATGAGAAACCCTGATGCAACCCTCACAACAGAAAGCCCTATACTGTTTTTGTTAAGGGGTCGAGTCTAGTTTATCAGGAAACCTATCATCGATTCTAGGTCCCTATCATTATATGGTAACTTAAATTGAGGAATCCACAGTCCATAATAAGGTTCCTTTACTATGGTAACTTTACTTGACTTCTTTGGCACCATAAACCCTAAACCCAGTATTGTGCCGGCCTCCTGACTCCACCACTCCAGGAGGTGTAGGGCCTCCTACAGCGCCTCCCACATTGCAAAGAGGGTTTAGAGTTAAGGGCTTAGGGCTTAGAGCTTAGGGTGCGAAGGTTTAAGGTGTAGGGTTCGCGCCTTTCGGGTTGATCAAGATGGCCACCTTTACTTCGCATTACATGGCACAACAGTGACGCAAACGCACATACGTACATGCATGCATACGTGCTGGCATACATGCCTGCCTGCCTGCCTACCTACCTACGTATCTACCCACCCACCCACTTACCTACCTACTTAGCTAGCTAGCTAGCTACCTACCTGCCTACCTACCTATGTACCTACATCAATACATAAATACATACATACATACTTACTTTCTTTCTTTCATCCACCCATGCAAACATACATACATACATACATACATACATACATACATACATCCATGCATACAAACATACATACATACAGACATAAATTCATAAATACATACATGGATGCAATACATGTCAGTATTTGCGACTCGACTTAAGAGCTTGCTGCGATGTCCATAAATAGGAGTATCCTGGTTGTGACTCTTGTGGTGTTGTTCAGTGAACAAGACAATTTACCAAGAACCTCATGTAAATAGTGCGGACACACTTAATGGTCTTTCGCATTTCTGTTTTGGTTTGTGACAAAATGCAGGTACAGCCCAAACTACGAAGATCCTGCGAAACTCACGCCATCATGCAAGCCCGACACAGCATGCTTAGTACATCGCAGATGCGTGATGCCTGCGAATTCAGGGAGCCTTCCTGAGCCCCTAAGTAATCGTACTTGTGCAAAATCAATCCTACGCACTATATTATCTTGAAGCCCAAATCCGGATGATCGTTCAAAGCTGGAACCCATGCAGAGTTGACGGTCCGAAGGCGTTCTACGGACGATTGTTTAGAGTCCGGGGCTTTAGGGTTTAAGAGCTTTCGCCAGTGAATGCCGAACAAGAGTGAACGCTGATCAAAATTCAGCCTTGCCTCCAGGAGCACCGGCGTAGCCACCCCTCAGGCGATGCAGGCTATCCGTGAACCCTAAGGAGGATTTATGTAATATGTCGATAATCAGGACAGGTGTTAATTGGAGCATATGAGACTACAGATGTATGGGGACTATAAGTATACAGGTACCTGCATGCAGCAACTCCTCTCTCTGAACACACGCATCTGAGCATCTTGCCACCTTAACCCTAAACCCTAAACCCTAAACCCTAAACCCTAAACCCTAAACCCTATAGAGGCCTTAGGCCCGAACGCATGCGGCCTTGGCCCCAAGCCGAATGGGTCGGTCTGTCTCTCTGGCACTAATATAGGGGCCTTAATACTTAGAATAGGGGTTTGGTGCCCATTAAACTATAAACATAATAAGGAAACTCAAAAATAGCATTGGTACTCATTTAGGCCCCTACATTATGAAGATTCAGCAACCTCCTTCGCGGCTGGGAAGAAGAGCTCCAGAACTTTGGGATGCAAAGATCGCTTCAGGTAGTCCCAAGCCTCTACAACTGCCTCTGGCCGTGCATCCTGGCGGAGAACTTCGCAGGCCTTCCGTACGCCAGTGGAGCTGTAGTTGGGGATCAGACCTGCCTCCACTTCGAGTAGCTGAAAGCCAGGATGGGGTCTAGGCTCAGCTGCTACGATTTGCCTGGCGATCTGGGCCGAGTCGTCTTCGTCCTGTCGGCATACGATCAAAGTCGCCTGGCGCACATTCTGAGGACGTTTCACCAAGAAGTCTGAGCCATAGACCGGCAGAATCTCCAAGTCGACTTGAACCGCAGCCATGTGCAGTTGCTGTTCCAGGCACGGCCGCATTTCGGCTATGGTCCGGTACCCACTGGCAATGCCAAAAGGCACTACGCATGTCTCTGTGTCAGAACCAGCTGCAGCTTCACAGAGTCGGATTCTCTCTCTGAGGCTCATGGCATGATCCCCAAGCTTCTCGTTGACATAATCCTCGCTGGACGGCGCAAGGGCGAAACCCACCACGACGACCTCGCGGCCGCTAGAACCAGCTTCTAGCAGGCGCTTGCTGTGGCGCAGCATCTCGGTGTGCCCACGATGAATTGGGTTGAGTGCCCCGGACAAGACCAGAATAACACATATACAGTTCTCAGAGGTTGAAGACAGAACGTTTGCGACAATTTTGGCGCAGTCCCAGTCTTGAGCCTTTCTTGCTGATTTCTGGCGACCCCTCCCCATCCGTGCAGGAGGAGGGAGCAAGTCCAACAAGGAAAAGCTCCCAATGCTCTTGGCAAGATCCTGCTCCGGCCTAACAACCCCTTACCCTTGGCCTCCGGTTACTGAAATAATAGAAAATTATTTACCAGATAAACAACAATAGGACAATACAAACATACCTATAGTCTCCAGTGTAGTTCCTTTTTTGTTTAGCCAAATTGATATTATAGGATCCTAACCATCAAAATGTTTCACCAAAACAGGAACTACAATTGAGACCATAGGTAGTAACCCCCCCTAAACCCTAAACCCTAAACCCTAAACCCTAAACCCCAGTATTTAGGTACCTGGAGCCCTTGGGTTGGAGAAACCTAACGTGTCAATCGTGCTGGGCCACGATTCCCCAGATCGCACACGTGGGCGCCTTAACAGCGACGGTTATGGGTGGGCACTACTTGGAGGTTCATGGGTAATTATAAGTGGGGTTATAAGTAGGGTAACTGTACTTATAACCCATATTAGGGGACTTATAACTCCATTTATAACTACCCATGAACCTCCAAGTAACCCCTTAACCCTTTGGGCTCTGTGTCTAATCTGCCCTTACTTACCACAGCACAAGCAAATTCTGGCACGGACCAGATCTGCTGAGCCTTCTTGAGCTGAGGGTTTAGGTTTGAGCTTTGCGGGTTTAGTGATTACCCATAGGCCCCATGGTAGTTCATTTTTGGGGTTACCTGAAAAAGATTCTATATATGAACCCCACCCAAAATGGGACTACAATAGGGCGGGGCTAGGGCTTAGGGGCCCCAGGATCTCGTGTTTAAGGTTCAGGGCTCGGCTATGCCCCCTGCCGGGTCATTCCAAGCTGCCTGCAGGCTGAAGCCAAAGCTGCAGAATGCAATGGACGTCCCAACATGCTGCCGTTTTGGGGTTTAGGGTTTAGGGATTAGGGATTAGGGTTGAGGGTTTAGGGATTAGGGTTTAGGGTTTCTGGGCTGACGATTTAGGGGTGGAATTGGAAGGTCCGGTGTAAGGGGAAGGCCCGAGTTTCAGGTTGCCGACGTCGAGTTGACGGTTCGAGCACAGCCAAATGTTCACTGAACGCTGACAGCGATCACGCAACCCATAACTTTTATAAGTAACTGGAGCCCTAAAACCCTAAACCCTAAATCTTAAATGTTATAAGTTATAAGTAACTGGAGCCCCAAAACCCTAAACCCTAAACCCAGCATGCTATAAGTTACAAGTAACTGCAGCCCTAAGGCAGTTGAAAGCCAACAGCAAGTCTGATAAAAACCAGCCGAGGCAGCCAAACACTGCTGGCACGCGCATACGACACCCCGCTGTGAGTTTAGGGTTTAGGGTTTAGGGTTTTCAAAACCTACAATGGAGACAAAAGTATGACTATACCCATAGGCCCGGTAGTAGTTCCTCTTTGGGGTTACCTTATAGGATTCTATATATGAACCCCAAAAGGAACTACTTTAGGGCCTATGGGTAGGTAGAGATTGTATGGTTTAGAGGACAAGCCCGGGCAGCCCAACTCACCATGAGGCCATTGCAATGTCTCTCAAGGGGTCCAAAGTACCTATACCAGTAGAATGTAGGGTTTCTATCTTAATTGTTAATTCTGATTTGGGAAAGTATCCCATAACAGTACCTAGGACCCTTTCGGTCGGCGTTTGACCTATCCGCTCAAGCAAAATCCTTCCCAGCCATCCACAACTTCATGGGAGTTCTGTGAATTAGGGTCTCTTTTCAGATAGATCCCCAGACTAGTACGGCACCCGTATAAAAAAGGAGCCTAAAATGGACCCTAATTTAGACAACCCATCTAAGTATCACGGCAACGCCATGATCGAAAAGTCAGAACCCTGCACCGCCACCGTATAGAACTGAAACGACCCAAACAACACCCATCCTCCAAGGGCTTCAGGGTTTGGGGATTTAGGGGTCAGGATTTAGGGTTGAGGAATTAGGGTTTAGGGATTGAGGGTTTAGGGTTTAGGGTTTTCGGGGTTAGGAGTTTAGGGGCTCAAGGTACTGGGTTTAGAGGCTGAGGGCTTAGGATTGTTTGGAAGGATTGTGTAAGCTTTGCTCTGGGTTCTTTTCTGGACAAGAACAAGACCGCCACTAACAAACGGGGGTAAGCAAGGGCTTAGAGTTAAGGGTGTATTTAGGGTTTTGGCCCTAAACCCAAAACCTTAAAGCCTAAACCCTAGCCCTAAACCCAAAAAACCCTACACCCAAAACCTTAAAGCCTTAACCCTAGCCCTAAACCCCAAAACCCTAAACCCAAAACCTTCAAGCCTAAACCCTAGCCCTAAACCCCAAAAAAACTCTAAACCCAAAACCTTAAAGCCTAAACCCTAGCCCTAAGCCCTCTAAGCTCTACTATAACTCTAACAAGGAACCCCAAAAGAGTATAGGTAATTCTGAAGGCCCCTACATTACAGGTGCAGGCCCGAGCCACTATAAGCTCTAGCCCTAAACCCTATAAGCTCTAAACAAAAAACCCTAAACCCAAAACCTTAAAGCCTAAACCCTAAACCCCAAACCTTAAAGCCTAAACCCTAAACCCCAAACCTTAAAGCCTAAACCCTAGACCCTAAACCCTATAAGCTCTACACCATAGGAGCCCTGAGCCCTCTTGAGCTCCCGACTCGGGACCGCCCTGAGCCAAGCTGAGTCTTTTTTAGGGCTTAGGGTTTAGGGTTTAGGGTTTAAGGTTTAGGGTTTAGGGTTCAGGGAAAGATTGGATTTATTTTAGGGTGTAGGGTTTAGGGCTTCGGGTTTACGGTTGAGGGAAAGTTTAGGGTTTAGGTGCTTAGGAAAAGTTTGGGATTTAGGGTTATGGGGTTTGGAGACTGGGGCTGAGGGTTTAGGGCAAGTCAGGGTTTAGGCTTTGGAGACTTGGGCTTCGGGCTTAAGTTTGCAGGGCCGGGGCTTGTTTAAGCGCGTCGGCTCGATGGATTCGGCTGGTTTTGGCGTATGTCTGTCTGTGTCTGTGTTTACTGGAGGCTCTTTAGGGTTTAGGGTTTAGGGTTCGGTCTTAAGCTGCTGAAGCTCTTTGTAGGGGTTCTCAAGACTTGACCAAAGCTCAGGTGCTCCTTTTGCATGCAACATTGCTGGGCACGCGTCCAGCACTCAAGTCTTGGCAACGTTTCATTGAAAGAATATCACCACTAGTGCGAGCCCAAGGAATACCACGCACAGAGCTCGTGCGATGTCGTACGTGTGGAAAGTACCGTGCCTGCCCATGCAGCAAGAAACCTCAGAGTAAGGATGTAGGGTCGTGTACTGGCGCACTTTGGATCAAGTTTCTGCATACGACGTGCAACCTACGCCAAACAACCAAACACTTCTGTAACTCTATTTTGCATAACATCATGTAAAGCCAGTACCCTACCTGCCCTACCTATCGACCAAAACCTGGCAAGGCCCCATTTCTACAAACCGCACCGGAAAACGCGTAAATAGAAGAAATAAACATATATATATATATATATATAAATATACATAGAGACGCTACCGGGAGTCCGGGAGGGCATTGCTAACGCTACCGGGAGTCCGGGAGGGCATTGCTAATGAAGGCCCAAATGACAGCGCAACAAGCCCCAAACCCCGACATCTTAACCGCACAATCCCCGAAAGCAAACACACACACACACACACACCCACACACGCACACACGCACACACACACACATAGACACACACACACACACACACACTCAACCCCAAACCCCTCTTCGGGGTCGACGGCCTGTTTCCGTTGTTGTCTTGCTGCAATGTCGATGAGGCTGCCTTGGCTACGCCTCGTGGGGTGTATAGCGGTTCCAAGGTTCGTTTACAGGGTACTGTAAGGATTTCTATATCGGATCTTGTTTTTTAGGGTGGCTGCAAGTATTTAGGGTTTATGGATTTGGGATGGTTTCGGGGCAAGGGGGTTAAGGGTCTAGGTGCGCAGGGGCTCAGAGGTTCAGGGTGGAGAGTCTATGGGTTTAGGGGTTTAGGGCTTGGGGACAAGCGATTTAGGGTTTTCGCTCCTGGGCCACATAACTTTAAATTTCATTTTTTCACGGGTGTTCGGGCTCTAAACTTTTTAGGGCTTGGGGTTCACAATAGGCGTTCGAGATTCACCGGTTTTTGCCTGGGGCCCAGAACTTAAGGCTTAGAAGGGTGGTTGTCCAAATTAGGGTCTTTGCCAATCCGGCTTTCAGTTTTGGTTTAGGATTTCCGGTCCTGGGAATTGAACCTGAGGCCTCGAAACCTTCACGAACTTGATCAGCTAATAACACTCTAGGCCCAGGCCGCTATACATTTCATTCTTGTATACTTGGGTTAAGGAGCCCTGCAGTATGGGTTGAAGACCCTAGTATACTTAGGTTCTGGAGCCCTGCAGTGCGGAATAGTGTTGGCAAATTTGCGCCGCCCCCTGCCCCCCCCCTCTAAACCCTAAACCCTAAACCCTAAACCCCAAACCGCCCCATGTTAGCCCAACAAGCTCCGCCTGCCACCGCGTCGTCTCTGCTGGTCTTGCGGGGCAGCAGATGCGCACCTGAAAGCCATCTCAGGGCCACTAAGCAGCTCCATTTCAGGGTTTAGGGTTGAGGGTTCAGGGTTTAGGGTCTGGGGTTTAGGGTTTAGGGTTTGGGGTTTAGGGTTTAGGGTCTAGGGTCGGATTTAGAATTTAGGGTTTAGGGTCTGCTGAAGCTGTCCGGTAAAGACACGAACTCTTGTTCGCTGGTCCTCAGCAAGACAACAGGTCATGGTGGAGCAACATCTGTGCCAGAACTGCGACTCCCATGTTGCTGTTTTAGATCCCAACCGCTACTCAAAGCCCGCTACGGTAGCCTCCCTAAACCAAAACCCCAAAACCCCAAACCCCAACCCTAAACCCTAAGCAAACGATCCCGCAAAGCATCTATCCTATCGTGCAAGGCCACATCGAAAAAACAAAGGCTGGACTCTCTGCGTCTCCTTGGAAGCGTGCATCTGTACAGGTACATGTATGCA